GGTATGGATGTTTTCTGGAATGACCCATTTTAAAACAAATGTAAAATGGTGTTCCAAAGTTGTATGTTCTAACAAAGCCACTTATAGGCTGCATGTGATTTTGTACCTAGAGTTGTGAACTGGTATACCAACAAGATGTATATAACAATCTTTCAAACTTTTTCAAATTGAAACGTAGAGTTTATATTGGGCTATTACATTTAATACCCGTACCCCCCTGTCGAGGACCTCATTTTCCAAGGGGGAAATTAGTAATTTTTTCCAGAGGGGTAATTGGGAAAAATGGAAGAAAAATGCTCTTTCCAGAGGGGTTAAAAAGCAAAAATGCACTTCCAGAGGGGGTTCAAGTCTCTTCCAGAGGGGTCAATTTACACGGATTTTTCTGCATTCCAGAGGGGTAAAACTCCCCACATGCAGAGGTCCTCGACAGGGGGGTTTGGTTTTTAAATGTAATAGCCCAATTTCATTTACAGTACAAGCATGGTGAACCAGAAAAGTGTTAGATATTCAGTTAGTATATCATATTTTACAGATATAGCTGTTCAAAATGTAAACAAAACGTTTGTTTACATTATTAGTAACATTTAAATTTTTAATATACGGACTTTTGTAATACAGCATCTTTCAAGTTTGAACTATAAAAAAATAATACCGAAAAGTGAAAACCCTTTAAAAACTTACCTTTAAGACAGGTTGTTCTTTCATTCAAACGTTGTCTCTTTATCCATGGTTGAATTTCCAGCAGAATTTTTCATAAACCAGTACAACGATGTAGCGAAATTTCCGGCCGTTTTTCACAACAAATTTTAACATCACAATATAAAGTCAATGACTACACGTATTTTTCTCTTTAATACAGAATCGTTTTCCCGGTCAATTGAGTTATAATTTCCATAACTAACCAGTCGTTACAACGTAAAATAAGCTGGATTTTGTAAACAAAAATGATGGCACAAAGAAAGAAGTAACTAGCGCCATCTTGTCTTCTCTAAACATGACAATTGACAAATTTTCCCGCCAAAAACTCGGGTGACGGTGAAGTCACAGAATACTACACAGAAGTCCATCTCCATTGTTTTTTGCGTAAGCGCTATTCGTCATGATTCGTCACTCAGCAAGTACCGTAAACAGAAGCAGTCACCCCCCTGGACGTGTGCCATTTTGAGTATTTCCAGGGGGGAACTGCTTCTGTTTACGGTACTTGCTGAGTGACGAATCATGACGAATAGAGCTTACGCAAAAAACAAAGGAGATGGACTTCTGTGTAGTATTCTGTGGTGAAGTCCCGTATGAAACTGACGTAACAAGTAAAATAGACCCGCGAATTTTAGGGTGGGCGAAACGTAGTCTGTTTTCAGGCTACAAGTGAAACAAACAATTTTTGCCCGCTAACCACTGAGCTATATTATAGCTATATTATAGCTCAGTGCCACTAATATTTTAAAATCAACAAAATTAAATTATTCATTATTTATTAAAATAGAGAAATATGCTCTTCGGGCGAACATCGGGAAAATCCGAAGTTGTCTGAGCTGTATATAGACAAAGCACTGGATGTCTGTTGTTTTTCACGTTCAGAAATTACTTCATGTAACCAAGTTTGTTCTGTTCTGGCTCGACCAACATGGCCGCTACTAATTAATGTGCTAAGAAGAACATTTCTTAGCACATTTCCCCCCTTTTTGCCGTTGTTCGCTTTTGTTTAGAAGTGTAAAAAGGGCCTTAAAAATGGAATAAACGTAAGAGGTTAAGCATACTTGGACGAACTTGGACCAATGCTGTTTGTACTATTTTATATATAAATATAAACGACCTGCCATTTCGACCTGCCTGAATTTGCTGCCAAAATATATGAAATGTCGTGTCACAAAAAACGATGTTTGCCTTATATGCGGATGACACCAAAGCTTTCAGAGGGATAACACCTGTTTTAAATAGTACTTAAATGCACACATGGTTTGCCCGACTCTGCTATCTTGTAATATTAGGAGGGTCCTGAAGGGGGGGTCCCAATCCCATTTCCCACCTGAAATTTTGACAAAATCCCAGTCCCAGTTGGATTTTTATTAGAAATCCCAGTCCGAGTTATTGAAATCCCAGTCAATAAAAAACCCTTTATTTATCGGTACAATAAACAGTTTTAAGACTTTTAAGCCACCGTGTGTGCAAGTGGCAATTTAAATTTGAATCCCGGAAATGGCATTTGCAGCATTCTGAGACATGCATAATCAGAAAACCCAGAATTTCGGGCGCCAGAGTATGCCTGTTCTCAGGTAGTGCTGTGAATAATATAGTTAACAACAAAAATCATGACCAAAGACACCAAAA